GACGCCTGCGTGAAATGCCTCCTGTATGTCTTGTAACCACTGAATTTGAAACAGTGGTGTTCTTGTAGAAGTGTTTCTTGTAGCAATATGATGTCAAGCTTGTCCTTGACTGCTGCTTCTTGCAGGAGGTGTTTCTTGTTTTTGATGCCCTGAGCGCTCCATGTAAGGATGTTCAGGGTGCTGATGTTTTCCACCACTGTTTCATCGGGGACTTCTGGTGGTCCTCGATGGAAATGTTCAAGTCCGATTCCGACTGGATCAGGTTCATATCTTCTTGTTCTGTGGTTTTTGCCTTCTGGGCCGTGGTTCGGTTCAGGGGAATTGAAACGTCCAATTTCTTTCTGGGAGCTGTCGGTATCTTGGGTTCTCTGGTGGCCTTTTTCGGTGTAGAGTGTACCTCGGCTGTCACTCGTGTGAGGACCGGCGTGGCTTCCTCCACTGAGGTGGCTGGAGCTGTGGCAACTTGCCCGAGGACGCTCCCCATGAGTATTTGGAGCTGTGTGGGTTGGATCTTGTGGCCCAGTAGTCCGGCTAGGCCCTCCGCGAAGGTTGTCAGTACCTTGGCTAGGTCTGATACGTGTATCATTCCTTCTGGTGCCTTGGTGTGTGCTTCTTTTGTCTTTTTTGTGGTTGTCGTTGTCCGCTGCTTGGGTGGCTGAGGTGTGGCCGTAGTGAGGCCAGGAAACTGGGCTGCACTTTGGGTGTTGACCGGCTGAGGAGGTTGGCTTTGTTGTTTTGGCCTTTGGGTTCCCGACACGAAGGTACTTGATGGGGCTAGTGTGCAGGCGGTGGGGGCCGGTCTTGCTGCTGGTCGGTTTGCCTGGACCCTCTTTGTCCTCTCGGAGCATCCAGGGTTCCAGGCGTGGTGTTTGCCCCCGCAGTTGGCACACTTGGGGGCAATTTTTTCTCCATTTTTCAACTTGGTGAGGCAGGAGTGTGTGCCGTCCTTCTGTGCGCAGACTGCGCAGATTTCCTTGTACGTGCACCTTGTCTGATGGTGCCCGTATTTCTGGCATCTGAAGCACCGCAGGGGCTCTGGGACGAAGGGCCTCACTTCGTAGATCCCCCAGGTTTTGAGGTCTATGGTGCTGGGGGGTGAACCGTAGTGCGTTATGAGCACTTGTTTTGTGGTGGCCGTCTTGTCGGACGGGGGAGAGCATCTCTCGGCTTTTAGGATCTTCGGGTGGTTCTCCACGGGTTCGAGGGGTAGTTCCTTTGGGTACCGGAGGACTACCGACTTCATCAGTTTCTGGGCGGGGTCCAGCTTGGTTGATGCAATGGTGGTGGTGTTTTGCAGGTAAGTGTCGAGGGTGGTGGCGGAGTCCTTGTCTTTGGGGTGAATAATCATCTCCCCCTTTAGGTTGGGCCGCACTGAGAACTTGGCCAGTGGATTTAGCTTTTCCATCTCTGTGATGGCGGCATATGTCGTTTTTGTGTCCGTTTTCGTGATCCGGAATTTTGGCAGTGTCGTTGGAGGTGAGCTGGTGGTGGTGATGGGTGCCTTTTGGGCTGCTTGACGGCATTCGTTTCCCGAAGAAGCACGTCGGCGTTTTTTGTTTTCTACCTTCGTCCAGTTGTCGTCCTCAGTGGCGGTAGCAGTGGTGGTGGAGTTGTTGGAGGTGGTGGCAGTGTTCCTGCTTTTTAGGGCTTTATTGAAGGTGCGTAACTGGTCCGCTTTCTCTGTGCGGAGCCTGTCGTAGTTCGGGTCGTCAGGTTGGCGGTTCAGGCACGGGTCTCGGTTAGGAGGGCGTACGCGCTCCATAACCGGTGGTTGTTGTTTTTTGTTTTTTTTTATTAAAACCTACCTATTCCGGTTGAGTAAGTAGCAGAGGAATTTCAGCACTCCCCACTGGCTGGTGGTCGTAGAGTGGTTCCTGAGCTTCTCTCCCGGAGCCCCGTTGGGGAAGCCTACTTCCTAGTGTATGTGACTGCTCACTTATAGACGTGAGCTAAGTGTGCCTATTGGGGAAGGATAAGGATTGCTACCCTCTTTCCAGGTGGACCCGCACGATCACGGTTTTCCTGGAAAGACTCGGCTGGGATGGGTTCTTGCTCCAACCCCCTTTCGTGTTCACAATCTCCTGGGAGGAAGGTGAACAGTTACAGGGGGGACCGCAGGACTAATACACTTTTTGAGGGTGCAGGTCCCTAGGCCAGAGCGAAAAAAGGAAAAATAGCAGTAGAAGGAAAAGAGCTCAAACCACGTCGGGAATATCGAGCTATAGCTGCTCTCCAGCTGGAGTGTGGGTCACTCACACCTCCAGTGGGGAGGGCTCGATAAGCCGAAAACGCTCGTGAGTTGTTGTCGACGATGTCAGTGGTGGATGGTCAGGTCCGGGAAGATGGCCAACAATGGCACCAGAGAGAGGGCGGTCTTCACAGTTCCGGGTCCAGCAGGAGATCTTGTTGTTATATGTGAATTGTTCTTTAACAGGTTTTGACCGAATTATATGGTACGCGTCAACGTTGAGGGTTTATTTCTCCGGCAACAAACCAATAACGCTCCTATGAGCGTCAACAGTATGTATATGGGATTGAAGTAATACTACAATATCTACATAATTATGTAAATCATTTACTGAGATCGCATTGCCTGTATTGATTGATTTCCAGCGTGCCATATGGTATAATACATGTTAACTCTCATAGGAGCGTTATTGATTTGTGCTGGATAATAAGACCCACAACGATGACGCGAAGAGTATAATTCTGTCAAAACTTGTTAAAGAACAATTCACATATAACAAATGATGGTATATCAGGACAGTACATAACCTATTAACCTCTTAAATATAACTCACATGTTACAACTGTTGATACATCAGGAGACAATTTGTATAATATAATCAATATACAGTACATAAATATACTTATTAAAGTTATTTAGAGTTTTTAGAGGATTTAATAGTCCACAATCACACTCACGTTTTGGGGTCTAAGGTTTGACCAACGAGAACAAATATAATATCCTCTTGGTATATGTTGGTCGAACGAAAGATGTTGTCTCTACGGTAGGAGGCGATAGACTATCCCTCAGGCAGTCATACAGCTGAGTGGCTGTCGCCTATTTAAATACCTCAGCAAAATTCGTTGTCAACACTATGTCTCTCCTCTCACCCCCTCTCTCTCGTCTAGTTTATCTTACTGTGGCGGTAATAATACATAATGAATTGAAATATTCTAATAACAATAATTAGGTAAGTATTAATAATAAATGAAAAGTCTCATACTGAAGACAGTATAGGGGTATAGGCAAGGAATAGGGTTCCAAGTTTTAAAGCAGTTACTCCTGAGCCGATTTTTTAATTAGTACCTTTCTCATGCACTTGATGATGGAGGGGTTGAACCCCGGGGTAAAAATGGTATTGATAAAGAGTATTTGGTAACACATCAGAGTACGCACGGGCTACTCTTGAAGAACGCCGCACTTTCCTTTCATTTTTAATCCTCATTGGATAGGACCATTATCATGGAGAGTGATAAAGCCTTCTCATATGAACCATATTATTTCTCACATTCATGATTAGTCTTCTGGCTCCCATTCTGAGGGACAATACAGCTTGGAGGATTCTGATACCGTTGCGTACCCCAGCCACCAAAACACACTCTGCAACACGTCATGATTATCTAATAATGATGTAACTTATTATGTAAAATAATGTAAAACTTGCTTGAGTAAACTAATTCGTCAGTTTGTTAACAAAACCATGGCATCCTTCCCAAGTCCTTATTGACAAATGGAAGTATCAGAGCTCAATTGTTGAACTGCGAGGGTGCTTGTTTGTGTTTGTGTGTAGTGTGTGCAGGGAGGGAGGGAGGTAGGCAATGGCTGGTACAGCGGACCCGTCGTCCAGTAAGGATAGGAGGACCTTGCACCCTCCACCTTGACTGTAGTGAAAATTTCGTCAGGGATTGTACACGAGACTCAGAATCTCCTTCAGCCTGCTCTTGGTTCAACCACACTTCCACCACCCATCCAGGTTAACGGAAATATCCTCTCTAATATTACTCACTTTCAGTATCTCGGCTCCCACCTGTCCATCACCGCAAACATCGATGAAGAGATTCAACATCAGATCAGATGTGCATCTCAAGCCTTGGGCGAACTCCATACCCATGTCTTCAGCTGTAGGGAGCTGAAATTATTTGCAAAACTGCACGTATATCGAGCAGTGGTCCTCCCACCCTGCTATATGGCAGCGAGACTTGGATCACATACAGGAGGCACTTCAAGGCACTTGAAAACTTTCACCAACATAATCTACCTTCCATCTTCCAAGTTCGCTGGGAAGACAAGAGAACTAATGCAAGTATTCTCGTTATATTGGCCAATGGCCCTGTTACCCACATGGACGACAGTAGACTGCCAAAACAGCTTATTTAACAGTCACCTAACGATTGGTAAACATAACACTAACGGGCAACGGAAAAGGTATGAGGGTAATTTCAAGACAAAACTGAAAAGTACCAAATTGACCCCTCACATATGAGACGATCATTCCACGTCGAAAAATTTGGAGGAGCACCACACGAGAAGGTGTCAGTACTTTTGATTTAGCCCTACTGGATATCGAGGCAGACAAGCGCCAACGCTGGAAAGACGCTACCGGCGCCCCTCCCGCACTAGATGAAGCCCTCCACACGTGCACCATCTGTGGACAGCCATACAGGTCCCATATTGACCTCTGGAGTCACCTCAGAGTTCATCGACGAAGGTGACATCCTTAATAACTCATATCATTGTATCCTAGCTGGATGATCGTCATACTCTATCCTGACTGACAGCAAAATAGCATTAGTATTTGTGTATGTGGTGATGATGTCCCAACCTGTGTGTGTGTGTGTGTGTGTGTGGGTGGTTCCATACTGCTTGGTGTGCTACTAGGGCACAGAATGACGTTAATAAAGGATTTATTTATCGGAACTCTATGGTGATGGAGCTCCTGTCTATCTGGTCTACCAGAAGGACACCGAAGGACATTAATAATGGAGTTATTTACCTGAACTCTGTGGTGATGGTGTCCCAGCCTGTCTGGTCCAGCAGCAACAGGTCCAGCTGCTGGTGAGCTTCTTTTATCTGTGTGTTACAGTCTTCACTCACAGTGGCCAGAGAGTCGCGGACCACCTCCAGGTACTCTGCCGTGTGAGGTGAAGCTTATAAGTAAGAGGTTAAGGTGTTTACTGACTTGTTTATACTTTATAATTATATAGTTTTTATTTCATGTCGGAGTAAAATAAAGTTATTTATACAGGATCACCTTGAACCATCACTATATCATTACAGGTCCAGGTGTTTTTTCTCACACACCTCCATCCAAACATCATTCTTACCTGCCTATCCTTTTTCTTTGTCCATCTACCCTAGCATCACACTCACCCACCAACTCCTTTACTTTATCCTTTCCTCTTGTTCTTAGTCTTCTGTTCTCTCTCATGCCTTTTCATCCCACTAACATACTTTTGTTTTTGTTGCCTTATATACACCCATTGTTGCTTCTATGCTTAACATAAAATTGTTATTATCACAGCATTATCTTGACCACTGGAACCATATTTACTCCCATTAATCTTAGAAAAAATACGAGAAGTATTGCTTGAAATATCCTTATTATACAGGTAGTAATGGTTAAAATATCCTTAAAATACAAGAAGTGGTGTTTAGAATCTATATACTGTATATAAAACAAAGAAGTATGTCTGTTTGTGGGTGTGTGTGTTTGTTTGTGTGTCCGCACGAGAATCTCGGAAACTACTTTACCGATCTGTAGTGATGATGGATGGTGTTATATGTAGTGATGATGGATGGTGTTATATGTAGTGATGATGGATGATGTTATATGTAGTTTTTTTTTTTTTTATTAGGCACCCCCGTACATCCTTGTGTAAGGTGAAGCGCAGAAGCGTTTACAGTGCCCAACAGAGAAGCATGCTAAGTTCATGCTTGCCTTTATGTCTCATGAGTTAAGGGCGTAGAAGCCTGAAGAGTCAAGGGTGTAGAAGCCTGAAGAGTCAATGGTTTATGTCATCAAGATATTGGAAGCTCCAACAACTCCCTCAATACGAATTCGCAACTTTCGACTTACAACAGGTACCTACTTTATTGCTAGGTGAACAGGGACTAATGGGGGCTAGGAAGTATGTCCAAACAACTTCCACCGGCCCGGGAATCGAACCCGTGACATCTTGCTTGCGAGGCAAGAGCGGTACCGCTTCTACCACCGGTCCCCCTTGTTGTATGTAGTGGTGATGGAAGGTGTTATTATGTAGTGATGATGGATGGTATTATATGTAGTGATGATGGATGATGTTATATGTAGTTATGATGGGTGGTGTTATATGTAGTTATGATTAGACAATAAAATAACAGTTTCGTGCTAAAAAAATATACTTTGCTGTACCGTTGTAGTGAAAAACATAGTGGTACTTACATACACCGGTAATGAACTATTGATGGAAGAAGAAGTTTTTGGGACTGAACAGTGAGACAATGTATTGATGGTTGAAATATCTTTATAATACAACTAGTGATGGTTGAAATGTCTTTATAATACAAGTAGTGTTGGTTGAAATGTCTTCATAACACTGTACAAGTAGTGATGGTTGAAATGTCTTTATAATACAGTACAAATAGTGATGGTTGAAATGTCTTTATAATACAGTACAACTAGTGATGGTTGAAATGTCTTTACAATACAAGTAGTGATGGTTGAAATGTCTTTATAATACAGTACAACTAGTGATGGTTGAAATGTCTTTTTAATACAGTACAAGTAATGATGGTTGAAATGTCTTTATAATACAAATAGTGATGGTTGAAATGTCTTTATAATACAAGTAGTGATGGTTGAAATGTCTTTATAATACAGTACAACTAGTTATGGTTGAAATGTCTTTATAATACAGTACAACTAGTGATGGTTGAAATGTCTTTACAATAAAAGTAGTGATGGTTGAAATGTCTTTATAATACAGTACAACTAGTGATGGTTGAAATGTCTTTTTAATACAGTACAACTAGTGATGGTTGAAATGTCTTTACAATAAAAGTAGTGATGGTTGAAATGTCTTTATAATACAGTACAACTAGTGATGGTTGAAATGTCTTTACAATAAAAGTAGTGATGGTTGAAATGTCTTTATAATACAGTACAAGTAGTGATGGTTAAAATGTCTTTATAATACAAGTAGTGATGGTTGAAATGTCTTTATAATACCGTACAAGTAGTGATGGTTGAAATGTCTTTATAATACAGTACAACTAGTGATGGTTGAAATGTCTTTATAATACAGTACAACTAGTGATGGTTGAAATGTCTTTACAATAAAAGTAGTGATGGTTGAAATGTCTTTATAATACAGTACAACTAGTTATGGTTGAAATGTCTTTATAATACATACAACTAGTGATGGTTGAAATGTCTTTACAATAAAAGTAGTGATGGTTGAAATGTCTTTATAATACAGTACAACTAGTGATGGTTGAAATGTCTTTTTAATACAGTACAAGTAATGATGGTTGAAATGTCTTTATAATACAAATAGTGATGGTTGAAATGTCTTTATAATACAGTACAACTAGTGATGGTTGAAATGGCTTTATAATACAGTACAACTAGTGATGGTTGAAATGTCTTTACAATAAAAGTAGTGATGGTTGAAATGTCTTTATAATACAGTACAACTAGTGATGGTTGAAATGTCTTTATAATACAGTACAACTAGTGATGGTTGAAAGGTTCATAATACAGTACAACTAGTGATGGTTGAAATGTCTTTACAATAAAAGTAGTGATGGTTGAAATGTCTTTATAATACAGTACAACTAGTTATGGTTGAAATGTCTTTATAATACAGTACAACTAGTGATGGTTGAAATGTCTTTACAATAAAAGTAGTGATGGTTGAAATGTCTTTATAATACAGTACAACTAGTGATGGTTGAAATGTCTTTTTAATACAGTACAAGTAATGATGGTTGAAATGTCTTTATAATACAAATAGTGATGGTTGAAATGCCTTTATAATACAAGAAATGATGGTTGAAATGTCTTTATAATACAGTACAAGTAGTGATGGTTAAAATGTCTTTATAATACAAGTAGTGTTGGTTGAAATGTCTTCATAACACCGTACAAGTAGTGATGGTTAAAATGTCTTTATAATACAAGTAGTGATGGTTGAAATGTCTTTATAATACAGTACAACTAGTGATGGTTGAAATGTCTTTTTAATACAGTACAACTAGTGATGGTTGAAATGTCTTTATAATACAAATAGTGATGGTTGAAATGCCTTTATAATACAAGAAATGATGGTTGAAATGTCTTTATAATACAGTACAAGTAGTGATGGTTAAAATGTCTTTATAATACAAGTAGTGTTGGTTGAAATGTCTTTATAACACCGTACAAGTAGTGATGGTTCAAATGTCTTTATAATACAGTACAAGTAGTGATGGTTAAAATGTCTTTATAATACAAGTAGTGATGGTTGAAATGTCTTCATAACACCGTACAAGTAGTGATGGTTGAAATGTCTTTATAATACAGTACAAGTAGTGATGGTTAAAATGTCTTTATAATACAAGTAGTGATGGTTGAAATGTCTTCATAACACCGTACAAGTAGTGATGGTTGAAATGTCTTTATAATACAGTACAAGTAGTGATGGTTGAAATGTCTTTATAATACAAATAGTGATGGTTGAAATGCCTTTATAATACAAGAAATGATGGTTGAAATGTCTTTATAATACAGTACAAGTAGTGATGGTTAAAATGTCTTTATAATACAAGTAGTGTTGGTTGAAATGTCTTTATAACACCGTACAAGTAGTGATGGTTGAAATGTCTTTATAATACAGTACAAGTAGTGATGGTTAAAATGTCTTTATAATACAAATAGTGATGGTTGAAATGTCTTCATAACACCGTACAAGTAGTGATGGTTGAAATGTCTTTATAATACAGTACAAGTAGTGATGGTTAAAATGTCTTTATAATACAAGTAGTGTTGGTTGAAATGTCTTCATAACACCGTACAAGTAGTGATGGTTGAAATGTCTTTATAATACAGTAGAAGTAGTGATGGTTAAAATGTCTTTATAATACAAGTAGTGTTGGTTGAAATGTCTTCATAAAACCGTACAAGTAGTGATGGTTGAAATGTCTTTATAATACAGTACAACTAGTGATGGTTGAAATGTCTTTATAATACAGTAGAAGTAGTGATGGTTAAAATGTCTTTATAATACAAGTAGTGTTGGTTGAAATGTCTTCATAACACCGTACAAGTAGTGATGGTTGAAATGTCTTTATAATACAGTAGAAGTAGTGATGGTTAAAATGTCTTTATAATACAAGTAGTGTTGGTTGAAATGTCTTCATAAAACCGTACAAGTAGTGATGGTTGAAATGTCTTTATAATACAGTACAACTAGTGATGGTTGAAATGTCTTTATAATACATTACAACTAGTGATGGATGAAATGTCTTTACAATACAAGTAGTGATGGTTGAAATGTCTTTATAATACAAATAGTGATGGTTGAAATGTCTTTACAATACAAGTAGTGATGGTTGAAATGTCTTTATAATACAAATAGTGATGGTTGAAATGTCTTTACAATACAAGTAGTGATGGTTGAAATGTCTTTATAATACAAATAGTGATGGTTGAAATGTCTTTATAATACAAATAGTGATGGTTGAAATGTCTTTATAATACAAATAGTGATGGTTGAAATGTCTTTCTAAATACAAGTAGTGATGGTTAAAATGTTCTTATAATAAAAATAGTGATGGTTGAAATGTCTTTACAATACAAGTAGTGATGGTTGAAATGTTTTTATAATACAAATAGTGATGGTTGAAATGTCTTTATAATACAAATAGTGATGGTTGAAATGTCTTTATAATACAAGTAGTGATGGTTGAAATGATCTTTATAATACAGTACAATCAGTGATGGTTGAAATGTCTTTATGATACAGTACAAGTTGTGATGGTTGAAAAATGTTATAATATAAGTAGTGATGTTTGAAATGTCTTTATAATACAGTAAAAGTTGTGATCGTTGAAATGTCTTATAATACAATACAAGTAGTGATGGTTGAAATGTCTTTATAATACAAATAGTGATGGTTGAAATGTCTTTATAATACAAATAGTGATGGTTGAAATGTCTTTATAATACAAATAGTGATGGTTGAAATGTCTTTATAATACAAGTAGTGATGGTTGAAATGTCTTTATAATACAGTACAATCAGTGATGGTTGAAATGTCTTTATAATACAGTACAAGTTGTGATGGTTGAAATGTCGTTATAATATAAGTAGTGATGTTTGAAATGTCTTTATAATACAGTACAAGTTGTGATCGTTGAAATGTCTTTATAATACAGTACAAGTAGTGATGTTTGAAATGTCTTCATAATACAGTACAAGTAGTGATGTTTGAAATGTCTTTATAATACAGTACAAGTAGTGATGTTTGAAATGTCTTTATAATACAGTACAAGTAGTGATGTTTGAAATGCCTTTATAATACAGTAGAAGTAGTGATCGTTGAAATGTCTTTATAATACAGTACAAGTTGTGATCGTTGAAATGTCTTTATAATACAGTACAAGTAGTGATGTTTGAAATGTCTTTATAATACAGTACAAGTAGTGATGTTTGAAATGTCTTTATAATACAGTAGAAGTAGTGATGTTTGAAATGTCTTTATAATACAGTACAAGTTGTGATCGTTGAAATGTCTTTATAATACAGTACAAGTAGTGATGGTTGATATGTCTTTATAATACAAGAAGTGATGGTCGAAATATCCTTTTATATTTACCGTTAATTTTAGGATAAGTGTGTAGTTCTTTATTGTGTCCTTAGGAACGCCTCTGGCCAGGGTAGATACTCGGCCAGGAGTAACATAGTCAGAAAATGTATGTGGTGCTGTCTGGTGTATGAATAAACATCAACAGTTGGTTTCAAGAATGGTGAGGATTAATGCCTGGTGAGGATGATGAGGGTTATTTTCTGATGATGTTGATGGTGATAGTTACTGTCTGGTAATGATGGTGAGGATTACTGGGTTACTGTCTGGTGAGGATAGTGAGGGTTACTGTCTGATGATGATGCTGAGTTTTACTGCCTGGTGATGATGATGGTGAGAGTTATTGTCTGGTGAGGATGGTGAGGTTACTGTCTGGTGAGGATGGTGAGGTTACTGTCTGGTGATGATGATGATAGGGGATTACTGTCTGGTGAGAATGGTGAGGCTACTGTCTGGTGAGGATGGTGTGTTTACTGTCGGGTTCTGATGATGGTGATAGTTACTGTATTGGCAAGGATGGTGAGGGTTACTGTCTGGTGAGAGTAACTGTCTGGTGATGATGGTGAAGGTTACGGCCTGGTGAGGATGGGAAGGTTACTGCCTGAGTATATTATTGTTGAGACTTACCATCTGGTAAGGATGGTGAGGTTAGTGCTTGGTGAGGATGTTGAGGACTGTCTGGTAAGGATGTTGAGGGTTACTGTCTGGTGAGGATGTTGAGGGTTACTGTCTGGTGAGGATGGTGAGGGTTACCATCTGGAAAGGATGGTGAGGTTAGTGCTTGGTGAGGATGGTGAGGGTTACTGTCTGGTGAGGATGGGGAAGTCAGGTTAAACACAGGTGATATAACAGTGGTACTCAAACCATCCAACCAGGAGCAAACTCGTAGCGACGGTTTTAAATGATACAAATTTAGATTTAGGAACGAGATATGTAAACATTGGGTTGGAAATAGAGTAGTGAATGAGTAGAACAAGTTACAAAATATCATCATTAACTCGAATACGCTGGATAGCTTCAAACATAGGTTAGATGGATATATGAGCGATAGGGGTTGGGTGTAAATGGGACTGCCCAGTATGGGCCAAGAGGCCTGCTGCAGTTTCCTCCACTCTTATGATCTGGTGTTACTCTCGGTGAGGATGGTGAGGGTTAATGTAAGGTGAGGATAGTGAGGGATACTGTCTGGTGAGGGTTACTGTTTTGTGAGGATGGTGAGGGTTACTGTTTGGTCAGAATGAGTACCGTTTCTGTCTTTTGAGAGTTACTGCCTGGTGAGGATGGTGAGGATTACTGTCTTGTGAGGATAGTGAGGGATACGGTCTGGCGAGGGTTATTGTCTTGTGAGGATGGTGAGGGTTAATGTTTGGTCAGGATGGGTACCGTTATTGTCTTTTGAGAGTTATTGCCTGGTGAGGATGGTGAGAGTTACTGTCTGGTGATGTTCACTGACCGGTAAGGATTGTGAGGGTTACCGTCTGGTGACCTTCATTTGTTTGGTCATCATAACAAAGCAGTAAAGGTGTTACCGAGAGAGTGTATGTGGCCTGAGAACCTGACACACTGTGGCCAGGGAACCTGACATGCCGTGGCCAGAGAACCTTACACACTATGGTCAGAGAACCTAACACACTGTGGCCAGAGAACCTGACACACTGTGGCCAGAGAACCTGACATACTGTGGCCAGAGAACCTGAGCACACTTACCCTTGAAGTTAATCACCGCCTCAACAGGAGCACTTGTAGCAACACTCCCATGTACCAGGTGCGGATACTTGAGACGGAACCATACAGCCAGCGCTCCTGGATATGATCCACCAAAAGCTATCCACTTATTGCCCTCAAAACCAAGACTTTCCTTCATGCTCACAACAAAATTTGCCAAGTCTCCTAGAGCTTGTTCAGTGCTAAGATAAGCCAGGTTGTCTACCGAAGCATCCCTGTAGAAGTTTAAAGCAAACCAAATATTCTTAGTTGTAATTTTGTTCATTATTTACTTTTGGTGAACTTTATGTTATCAAGATTAACAATTGACTAAATGATTGATGGTGTATGGTAAATGATTTATAATACAATAAATGTTTTCAACAGAATAAAAGACTTACTCAGTAGGATGACTCATGCCATAGTATCGGTGCTCAAGGAACAACATATAGGCATTTAGACCTTGGGCGTAGGTGACCCAGTAAGGCTCCACCATCCATATAGGGTCAGCTGGTCCTTCTCCACCAATCATAAGGAAGACAGGACCACCAGGCTCATAGAAAGAGTCATTGGTAAAATATCTCTGAAAGATAAGGGATATTCAGATCCATCTCTCGTGTGTGGAATTGCGTGAACTAATAAGATTACACAGTTCTGCATTTAATATGTTATTGTTATGTCTACAAAGTGCGTATGTGTTATTAATATGTATACAGTGCACACTGTTCATTGTAAAGGAGACAGCCGGCGTGAGGGAGACAGCTAGCATGAGGGAGACGGCCAGTGTGAAGGAGGCAGCCAGTGTGGGGGAACAGCCAGTGTGAAGGAGACAACCAGTGAGAGGGAGACAGTCAGTGTGAAGGGGACAGCCAGTGTAAAGGAGACAACTAGTGCGAGGGAGACAACCACTGTGAGGGAGAAAGAAAGTGTGAGGGACACAGCCAGTGTGAAGGATACAGCCAATGTGAGAGAGAAAGCCAGTGTGAGGGAGACAGCCAATGTGATGGAGAGATTCAGTATGAGGGAGAGAGCCATTGTAAAGGAGACAGCCAGTGTGAAGGAGACAGCCTGTGTGAAGGAGAGAGTCAGTGTGAGGGAGACAACCAGTGTGAGGGAGGCAACCAGTGTGAGGGAGACAACCACAGTGACGGAGAAAGACAGTGTGAGGTATACTGCCCGATTCTGGGGTCACTAATTCTAAGGGGATAACTTAACTCTACTCTTAATTTTAAGGTCGCTGCCACGAGACTCCCCTGGACAGTGTGTAGCTCGTTAGGTAGCGGGCATAGTGAATTAGGCATTGGGTTGGGTTTTTCAATGACCAAATCGAGAGTGGGAAGAAGGGTGAAACATCAATTATGACTTAAGTAATTTATTCCTTATAAGAACATATTGCATCCAATCACAATACAAAAAAGCTGACCTTCATCAGAAGAACCACTATTATGATCATTACACCTCATATCATTACACGTCCTTCATCAAATAATTACTATTATCATCTTCATTCTTCATAGCAACCAATGACCTCCTTACCTAGGTCATTCTTTCTTACCATAACATCCAACGCATTAGACTGCACGACATGTTAGAGTATAGCACCGTATGTTATAGCACCACATCTCGTATACACTCCACACCTACAAGTATGGGGCTCCTTGGTATTCTTAGGTACACATACCAGGTT